GGGCTCACTCACCCCAGCTGGGATGTGGTAGTTCTGAAGCACCAGATCTGAGCTGGTGGTTCGCTCCAAAATGCTTCCTACTGGGTAGAGCCTGGGGGTAGGACACCAACAGGCAGGGCCTCAGGGGGACAGCTCCCTCCTCTTCCCTCTGTCTGCTGCCCACCCAGGACCCCCGAGGGTGCGGCAGCCCTGCTCACAGGATGTGCTTGCTTGCACCTGCTAGGCTCAGTGAGCCCCCAGCAGCCTGAGCAGCCAGGCCCAGGAGGACGTGGCCGGTCGTGCATGGGACTTGGGAGTGCAGTCCCAGAGGAGAGGGGCACCCCTCCCTTCAGGCAGAGCAGGAGGAGCTGAGGAGCTCTGGGTTCTGAGGCAAAGCTGCTCATGCCTGCCTCCCACCTCCAGGGAGCAGAGGGGCCAGGGCAGGTGGGGAGGGCCAGCCAGCACCTACCGCAAGGTCTCCTTGAGGGCAGCCCGCAGCAGGGGCAGCTCTGAGGGGGCCCTCTGGGGGTTTGCAGAGATGCTGGCCTCTGCTGCCAGGCTCTCCTGGCGCAGGGCCTCCTGCACATTGGGGTTCCGAGCCAGCTCAAAGAGCGTCATCACCAAGGGGAAGGCTGTCTGCGGGAGCCATGGGGGCAAGGCTCAGACCACGGCACTGGCCAGGCGCCCCAGCCCCAGGCACCCCTCCATGAGAACACCCTCCCCTGGAGGGGAAGGGCGTGCCCCGAGCAGCACAGAGCCCTGGCACCCCACAACTCAAGACATCCATGTCCCCTGACTCCTGCCCTGAGTCCTGAGGGAACGACCTCTCGGGGCCCAACCCAGGCCACCTCCTGCTGTCTCCTCAGGGTCYGATTGGCTCTCACACCCGGCTCCATGGCCCTGAGGGGTGACCGTCTCCAGGAGTCACAGGTGCTCTGCAGCCCTTGTCCGTCTGCTTGCAATGGCTGTCTGCCCGGCTGTGTCCAGACCCCTCTGACAAGCCTCACTGTCCCACCCTGAGCAGGCCTTCAGACCCCAGCCAGGTCCTCCTCCTGGACCATTCCTGGTACTCCAAACATATCTGCAGCCCCAGTTTGAGATCTGAGGCTCCGAGTCTCCAGAATGGCTCCTTCCAAGGTACCTSTACAGTGTCCTGAGCCTCAGAAATGAATTAAGTACTCTCCTTAGGCCCCAGGGCTTCATTCCATTCTCTACCCTGGTGCTCTGCAGGGTACATGGGAATGTTCTTGTGGCTGATTGATCTAGCCTTGGATAAAGGCCTGATTCACATGCTCCTTTCTAATGGGAGCCCTGATGTCTTGTGTTTCACCTAGTATATCTGAATTCCCAGCCGTAGATCACTGCATGCCAGGGCTCTCCCCAAATTCCTCCTGTCATCTGCACTGTTCCTCAATACTTATTCCAGACTTCCCCCCCAGGAGCCCACTGAGAACTGTCTTCAGTTAACAGCAATATAGCTTCAGAGAAGCAGGGTCTCGATTAGGGGTTGTGGGCAATTCAGCATCAAAGGAAATTTCTGGGGAATCAAAGTGATCCTCTCTCAATGCCAGGTATATTGGTGCCCTGACCGTGTCCACACTCCCTGCTGTGAGTTCAATAGTATTGGCCTTGATGGCATCTAGTGACAAGTCCCCTTGGAAGATCAGGTCAGCCACAATGCCACTGTAGTCCTGAGGGAAGCTGCGTGCAAGTTCCTGATGCACCTTCTGGATGCAGTTGTTGGCTGTGGGGAGAGGAGAGGCCTCAGGCCTTAATGCTGGGAAGGTCGGCTTCACTATCAATCCACCCACCAACCCAGCGCCTCCTCTCCCTGCTCCTCAGTGTTGTCTTAAGCCTGGCCACACCACCAACTCTGCAAGGACCCCGAGGAAGGCGTGGCCCTTTTGTGTGGACTCCGTGTGGCTCTGGGTGGTGGTAAGAGGAAACCTGGATGACTGTCCTGCCCCGACCCACAGCCCTGCCTGGTCCAGCCCTTACCATACTCAGAGATGTAGTCCCAGGCCTGAAAGTGTTCCTGCCACACCTGGGAGCTCATCCAGCGGGACAGGCTCTTGGGCAGGAACATGAGCTGAGCAGTGGACTGGAACATGGCCTCCAGCGCATGAATGAACTTCAGGCTGCCAGCGTTCTGGTGTGGGCCAAAGAGGCCCAGCCGCTCTCCAAAAAGAGCAAAGTTGCTGGCTGCAGAGAGGATGGCAGCCCTGAACAAGGGCAGGCCTGGGCCTCAGCTGCGTCCTGCAGTACTCCACCCACCCTGGCCACCTCAGAACCCTCGAGGCCAAAGCTCCCCCAGCCCCACACCTTCGATGGTATAGTGGAAGATGCTGGTCTGGGCATCCAGGGTCAGGCTGCCCCGGGAATTCTGCAGCACCTTCTTCTTCAGGGCCTCGGAGAAGTCTCTTGCCACCTCGTCCACCATGGGGATGAACTTCTGCACGGCCTTTCCTGACAACACGACTGGATTCAGCCGCAGCCGGTTGAATCTCCATTCAGCTCCATTCCTGTAGGGCAGGCAAGGGCTTGAGAGGCATCCCCAAGCATCCCACAGGTCCCCAACCTGTCTGCCATCTTCCTGGAACCCAAAGGGACTCGGTGGTTCCAAGAATGAAGGTGGGCCGGGGGCGAGGCAGCTGCATGTCCTGGCCTCACCTTATTCTCTCAGAGTGACCTTCCTGTGCTGGGCGATGGCCATGGAAGTCTGAAATGGGGATGAGGGCAGGTAGCCCTGGAGTGCTGGGAGGCCTGTGGGTAATTCCTGGGAGCTGCCAGGCACACCCTGCGTCCACGTGGGCCCTGCCTGGGTGGCCAGGCTTTCTGCCAGGGTGGGGGGTGACCTGAGGTCAAGTTTGCCTGCCTGGCCCACACCATGCCTCAGGTGGGAGAGGCCAGGCTGACTCCTGTCCTCCATGTCCTTCCCCATGGAGCTTGGAGAGTGGCACCTGCTTGCTCCCTGAAGTGKCCTTGTCTTCTGTAGTGCAGAGTCCAAACTGAATCTCCCACCACATCCACCCACCACATCCCAAGCACATGGGGCCCCGGGAGCTTCTGGTGCCAGTGGTGGCAGGGCTTTGCAGCCTGAGCCACAATCAGGCACACACGCCTTTCTCTTCCTAGGGCAGTGCCTCCCATTCCTGATGATGAGAAACATGGGTACATGCCACGCCAACGCCTGTGCCCACACAGACCTCAAACACATGTGTGAAGACACTCATGTCCAAGAGTATGCACAGTGCTGCATAGAACCCTAATGTGCACGTGCATGCACACACACACACACACACACACACACACACAAGTTCACCACTTCCTTCAGGGGCACTGGCTCTCCTTTCCCCCAGACCCGCCCTTCACATCTGGCCTCTGCATCAGATGCCCTCCACGGAGGGCCCGGCCCAGGAGACTCACGTGCATATGCCCTGCTCTTCCCCAGAAAATCCACTTCCTGACACGGAGTGTGGGACTCTTCAGCCTGTGGTTCTTCTCAGCACTTCCTGCTCTTTATGGCAACCTCTTTGCAGCTGACCCACCCTGAGCACCATCTTCTCCCCGCTTCCCTGGGCCCAGTAAGGAGCCACCCCCTTGCTGCTGACCCACCTGGAAGCTCAGGGCCTTGCTGCTGAGCTAGAAGCTGCCTTGGACCTCCACCATGCACATCCCCAACCTCCTCCCCGTCACTGTCTCCCCAAAGTGAAGGCTGACTTGACCCAGGATGCAAGGGCCCCTTGGGTGGTGGGACAGCCCTGGTGGACTTCAGATTCTGGCCCATGCTGCCCACGGCTTTGGTCCTGGGATTTCACATCTCTGGGCTGGTTTTCTGACCCACAGGAAGGAGAGCCACCCAGCAGCAGGAGGGGACAKGGACCAAGGCCTAGGGCCGAGGGTGCTCCCTTCAGGGAGGGGCTCAGTGTTCCTTGTCTAGCCTGTGCAGACCCCATGTGCCTTTCTCCCCCACTGCCTGCTCCCCCGCCCAGGACATCCATCACAGGAACCCATCCATGCTTACTACTGACACTGTCCACCCACCCGCAGAGCCCAGGACATGTGTCCTGTGGTCTGCTGGTCTGGCCTCCTCTCCAGGCTGCCCAGTGTCAATTCCACTTCCCAACCCAACCCATTGGTGCCTCACAGCAAGAATACGCCCAGGGGCTTCTGTCCACGGTGCTCTCTGTAGACCATCCAGGGCTCCAGGGGCTGCCGCCAGGGCTGCAGGCTCTCCATCTGATGCAGCTTCTCAGCATCTTCAGGCAGCATCACAGATACTATCTGTGTTCTTCCCACTTCATACCTTGGAACGTGCACAAAGCCCTGCTGGATCCCACGTCCTTTCCTGATGCCCCTCTGGAGACCAGTCAGACCTCACCCTTCTCCTGGACTTGAGCCTGCCCCACAGGAAGTCCCCGAGCCTCTTGCCTGAGCCCTCTTCCCCTCTCAGCTTCCTCTGAGGCAAGCTTTCCTTGTGCACAGGAGGAGTCCTTGTCTCCACTGGCAAAGTCTCGGGACGGTAACCCACATGCCCCCTCGTGCCTTGTGGAGGACGAAGACCACCCATGTTCCTAGGGAGCAGGAGCACCGGGTGCCTGGCGAGTGCCTGGCAGCCAGCAGAGAAGGAGGTG